AGTGTATCTTGTCTTTTTATGTGCCCTGAGAGCATATGCACCAAAGACAAATTGCAATCACACTTGGCCAATAAAGAATTCTATTCTATTCTATTCTACATTTTAAAGTTGCAAAGGTTGAGAAACAATGCCCTATGTCAGTGATGGTTAACCTTTTTGGCACTGAGTGCCAAAACTGGAGCATGCGTGCATCTGCGCCAGAACCTGGAAGAGAGCAGCTTGCGCACAATTTGCATCGAGCACGTGCGCACAACGAAACCCAGAAGAGCAGCTGGTGACGGCGCATGTACCCACAGAGAGGGCTCTTCATGCCACCTCTGGCACGTGTGCCATAGATTCGCCATCATGGCCCTAGCTCCGTGATGGTGAACCTATGGCACGTATGCCACAGGTGGCACGTGGGGCCATATCTGTGGGCACATGAGTGTTGCCGTAGCTCAGCTCCAGCGCGCATGTGCATGCCAGCCAGCTGATTTTCAGGCCTTCCAGGCCCACCAGAAGTTGGGAAACGGGCCATTTCCAGCCTCCGGAGGGGTGGGGAAGGCCATTTTCGCTCCCCGGCTCCTAGAAAGCCTCTGGAGCCTGGGGAGGGCGAAAAACAGGCCTTCCGGTCCCACCAGAAGTCGGGAAATGGGCCATTTCTGGCCTCCGGAGCGGTGGGGAAGGCTATTTTCACCCCTTGGCTCCTAAAAAGGCTCTGGAGCCTGGGGAGGACAAAAAACAGGCCTTCCGGTCCCACCGGAAGTTGGGAAACGGGCCATTTCTGGCCTCTGGAGGGTCTGGGGGGGGGTGGGGAAGGCCGTTTTCACCCTGCCCAGGCTCCAAGAAAGCCTCTGGGGCCTGAGGAGGGCAAAAAACGAGCCTATGGGCCCACTGTGCCATCATGTGCCAAAAGCAAGGGGAATGTGTGGGGGTTGCGCATGCATGCATTGGGGGGGGTAGGGCGCATTGAATTATGGATGTGGGAACGCACATGCGTGAACCCCCCGCACTCCCCCGGCTTTTGGCACACGACGGCAAAAAGGTTAGCCATCACTGCCCTAGCTTGTTTTGGAAAAGGCTGAATAAAACTAGAGTCGCTTGATATGAGGCAACATATAAATTTGGGAGCCTGTAGTACAGTGGATTAAAGCACTGTTATTAACAGATTAACATCTGCTGCTTGCAATTACTGCAAGTTCAAATCTCACCAGGTTCAAGGTCGACTCAGCCTTCCATCCTTTCAAAGGTAGGTGAAATGAGGACCCAGATTATGGGGGCAATAAACTGACTTTGTATAAATATACAAAAGTATGAAGGCTATTGCTTAACGCATTGTAAGCCGCCCTGAGTCTCCGGAGAAGGGTGGCATATAAATTAAACCAAAAAAAAAAATTAATAAAATAAAATAAAACACTATGCCAATATGAGCAATGTGAGATGCTATTAGGTATTTCTCTTCAGGACAATGCACAACCAGTTCAGTGAAATACAGATTACTACTGTAAAAAGGACCGTAAAAACTACATACTTGGACTACATCTTACCATATATATATGATTTAAGATTAGATCCACAAATTGCATCATGTCAGTTTGCTAACTCATTGACTAAACCAAGATGGGTTGCTTGCACATACTAAATGATAAACCATAGCTTCCCAACCTCATTAGTTGCATTTATATAACGTTATGACTTTACACGGGGTTGCATAAAACCCAATCAGAACCTAGGAGCTGAAAAGTCCACAATGTTTTTATATTATTACCGTCACTGCCGTCACGAGCTGTTTGCAGGCCTGCCAGTTTCAGCTGAGCAGAGACATGGATTCCACGGTTCTCTCTACATGTGTATATGTGTACAAACTTGCCTCGGTGGTACAGCGGACTAAAGTGCTATTAAGTGCTAGCACTTAGCTGCCAGCTGCCTGCAATTAGTGCAAGTTCGAATCTCACCAGGCTCAAGGTTGACTCAGCCTTCCATCCTTTCGAGGTAGGTAAATTGAGGATCTGGATTGTGGGGGCAATAAGCCAACTTTGTATAGAACAACACTGCTTGGGGCGGGGGGCGAAAGCCCTAATAAGCAGATATATATGTATACAGATATACACCCATGCAAACAGATTTTCACAACTTGACACATGAATCAAGTCCTGAGTTCGAGGATCAAACACTTTATCGTTCAGTTATTAGGTCACTGTTGTACATTAGTAGTTGGACCAGACCCGACATTGCACTTAGTGTTAATCTCTTGTCTCGACACGTAGGTAAGGCAAAACAGTTTCACTGGACATGTGTTAAGAAATTATTGAAATACCTAAAGCACACTAAACATATGAAGTTATTGTTAGAACCAACACATACTGATTATGCAGAATTATGTCGTTATGCAGATTCTGGTTGGGCAAGTGATAAGAAATCACGTAAAAGTACTTCAGGTTATATGATGTTCTTAAATGGATGTCCTGTTTATAAGCCGCCCCGAGTCTACGGAGAAGGGCGGCATATAAATTGGACTAATAAATAAATAAATAAATAAATAAAATAATGGACGTTGCTTCTCACGGGCTGGATATTAAAACACTCTTTCCTCAACCTAGAGCTGTGAAGGCAGCCCTAGCTAGCATCTCCGGAAGGTACGTTTTGTGTGGGAGGAGGACATGACCCAATAATTATGTGAGCCGTTTAAGATGCTATCTTAAAAGGAGTAATATTACATATTGCTCCTGGATAGCTCTGCAGACTAAGCACTGTAATTTAACCCCAGCTATCTGCAATTACTGTAAGTTCGAATCTCACCAGGCTCAAGGTCGACTCAGCCTTCCATCCTTTCTAAGGTAGGTAAATTGAGGACCCAGTTTGTGGGGGCAATAAGCTGACTTTGTATAAAAGTATACAAAAGTATGAAGGCTATTGCTTAACGCACTGTAAGCTGCCCTGAGTCTCCGGAGAAGGGCGGCATATAAATCAAATATAAAAAAAAAATGCACTGCAACAACCGATTTGCACTCTGAGCTTCAGAAACTGCTCAACCGCCTTGCACATGGTGACCCAGGCCCCTGGAAATTTTAAAGGGAGGGGGAGAGGGAAGGGAGAAAGGACTTGGTGCCTTTAAAAAAAAAAAAACCCACCCACCCAGCTGTACAGCTTTCCCACACCAAGCAAACAAAGGGAGATCCGGAAGTAGTGGAGGGCACAAAAAAACCCTCACATGGCTTTGAAGTCAAAGCGATCAGGTGGAAAGTCTGAGCAAATAGCAATTCCACTTCCTCGAAAATAGGTCTCTCCCCACTCTGACATGGGATCGGGGAGGGCTATTTACATTTTCTCCATAGGATAAGACCAAATACATCCAGAATCATCAGGGAGAAGAAAGCTTATTAATTTGGGTGTGGGTGTGTGTGGAGAGGGGGAGAGAATTAAAAAAAAAACCCAGACACCTCGTAACCTGGAAGTCTTTTCAAAGGGGGATGGCATGACCCGAACACGTTCAATAAGAATTTTTTTTGTGTGTGGTTTTTTTTTTTCCCCTTTCCCCCCCGATTATGGAGAACCTTTGCAAGAGGAACAAAACAGAAATGAAACCAACCGAACCCCCCGTTTTTTTTCCTTTTTGCTTTTGAAACAGGGCCGTTTTGGAACGCATCAGGTATTTGGCAAAGAGAACCGGAGACGTGTTAGCGGGGAGGGGAGGGATGAGTACGAGATTTAAAACAAAACAAAACAAAACACAAAAAAAGGGGTCTCTGTGGGGGGGGAGGAGGAGGGGAAAAGATAATTTGGAGGGAAGAAAGGGGGAACGGATGAAGTTTGGCTATTAAAATATTGCTAATTTCAAAGCGGACTGGACCAGCCGGCCAGTCTCAAAAGGGTAAAAATGCAACGTATTTCGGACCATTTCTAGCAGCCGGGGAGGGGAGGGGATTATTATTTTTTTGGGGGGGGGGGAAGGAAAGGAAGAGACGCTATGCAAGGTAGCATATTACGAGGAGGCCGTCGCGCTGCCTTAAAAGCTAAATCGCCCCGGGATTGTGGGGGGGGGGGGGTGGGGGAGAAAGAATGAAACCCAAGTGCAAATCTGTGCCCCCCCCTTTCACTCCCCAGACGCACTGGCAGCTTTCTGCTGTGTCTTGCCTATTTTATTTCCCCTCCTTCGAAAGAGTGCAAAACGCCACTGCTTTGAAATTCAGCCGCCGGTCGCAGTTGTGTTGCAGGGGGTGGGTTGCCTTTACCCCCACCCCCACCATCACCCCCTCCCCAAGCCTCGATTTTTATTCCCCCCCCCCTCCAAGATCGTCTTTCTCGGGCTCTACGTAACGCCCTCTCCAAAGCGGACGCCATATTTTGTGTTGCTGATGTCGACAGTGAAACGTAGACAGACATACATTTTTTTTTTTTTAAAAAGAGACCTTGGCGTTTCCCCCCCCCTTTCTTTCTTTCTTTCTTTCTTTCTTTTTCTCTTTCTCTCTCTCTCAGCTCCTTCCCCCCCCCTTCAAAAACTTGCGCTCGGATACGGTGGATAAGAAAGGCGAGAAAGAGAAAGCAATTCGATCCCCCCCCCTCCTCTCCTCCTCCCACCATCCATGCCTTTTCTTTTTGTCCCAATTTGAATTGTATTCTCTTTGCTTTTCGCCCCTCCTCTTTCCAACTGAAACCCCCCCTTCCCCCCCCAAAAAAAAAAAACAACGACCCAAACGAGAGGTTTTTCTTAGCGGGGAGAGGGCGGAAAAAGTTCGGTCGAAGTGCATTGCTTTGCTAGACTAGCTCAGGACCAGGAGCCCGAGTTCCCCCCCCCTGGAAGTCCATGTGGCAAAAAGGAATAATATCCAATCTGGCTTCTTCGCAAGGTATCCGACGCTTCCCTTTTCCCGATTAAGGGTGCTGGGTCTTTCTGCTGCTCTTTTTTTTTTAAAAAAATATATTTTTTTTAAATTAATGGTGTGTGTTTTTAAAAGAAGGGCGGGCGAGAGGAGGGGAAGAAAGGAAAGGAAAGGAAAGGAAGGGAGAAGTTTTTTCCTTACCTGCGATCAAAAGCTTTGGAACGCCGAGACGCAGAACTTTCCCCCCCCCCCACGAATGGAACTCTCGGTGCGCGTTCTAGAACGCCGAGGAGACGGTCCGCGACTTTCACTTATGCAAATCGTCGCCCCCCCTTCTAGGGAGGAAGGGGGAGAAAGGAAAAAAAAAAGGGGGGATACAGAGGATTTTTTAAAAAAAAATTACCAAAAAAAAAAAAAAAACCCTCTCCGATCGGTGGTGGTGATCTACACCAAAAAAAACCCCCCACATGATCTCTTACGTCAGCTTGCGTATTTGCATACGATACAATCCACAGCTCCTCTATCGGGGTCTCGCTGGGTTTGGCTGGAAAGTTTTTGACGCGAAAATTTCGACCGCGAATTCTTTTAGGGAGGGGGGAGGCCGCTTAAAGCAGCCTCCTCTTCACCACCACCTCCCCCCCCCCGACGGGTTTCAGGACTCTTCCCTTCTTTTGACCCGCTTTTTGGTTACCTCCTAAACGTGAAGATTGGTGTCATCGCAGGGGAACTTTTTTTAATCGAACGTAATAAAGGAGGATTAACTTTCCCGCGGAGTTGACACGGAATGTATCTTCTTCCCCTAAGACATCGGTGCTATCTTATCTCGGATGCCGTCCGTCTCTTTCATTTGCTTGCTGTTTAGTTAAGTCCTAAGTAATTTAAGGCCAAATTCTAGTTAAGTCTTGCTTAAGTAAGGTTTGTCCCCCCTGCCCCCAAACACCCCTGGGTTTTTAGGCTGGACGGAGCGTTACTACTACTTTCACCTTCTTCCCTAAATCCGGTAGGACTTTACTCCCTAAGTAAGTTAGCCGGGACCGTTGAATCCCGAAGCCAGATGCCGAGCACATTTTCCCGAAAAGAGCAAATCAGAATGAAGGTTGGTGCAAAAAAATGAAGGTTTTGTGAACTCAACGCTCGCTGAGTAAGGCTTGAGTCCGGCACATGGATCCTCCTGACCGTTTCTTTTTTTTAAAAAAAAAATCTCTGCCCTCCTTTCCAAAAGCAGGTAGTTTTTTTTCGGGGGGGAGGGAATATTTGGTAGGCGCACCTGCGCGTTCACACGCTCCCCCAACGCTCAACTGGAAGAGGAATTTTTTTTTTTAAATGAAAAAAAAATACCGTTAATTTTTTTACGGACGAAACTGGCTAACTAGGGCAGTGGTGAAATCCGGGTCTGTGGGCGTGGCTTGGTGGGCGTGGCAGGGGAAGGATACTGCAAAATCTCCATTCCCACCCCACTCCAGGGGGAAGGGTGCTGCAAAATCCCCATTCCCAACCCACTCTGGAGCCAGCCAGAGGTGGAATTTGCCGGTTCTCCGAACTACTCAAAATTTCCACTATCGGTTTGTCAGAACCTGCTGGATTTCACCCCTGAACTAGGGGTGTTTGAAGTTGGCCTTGCAAATCAGCCACCACCTCCCCGGGATTGGAAGGCGGAGTCGTTGCAACGGTAGCGCCCGATGAGTTCACGGAGATCCATCGCGCGTTATCCTTCTTTGCAGGTTTTCCGAAGTCCCCTTTCGGGGCCGTCTCTCTTTGATTTTTTTTTTTTTTTTTTTACAGCCAAGCATCTTTTATCTTACCTGCCGCCGGCCACCAGACCTGTTGCTCCCGTTAAATATTGGGAGGTGGGCGAGAAGGGGTGGGTGGGTGTCTTTTTAAATGTATCGCATTGTCTCCTGATTAGATGGGAGTGGTGGGGACCCCTCGGGATCTTCCCATCGCTACCACTGACTGCTTTGGGAGATCCCGAGAATGCAACTCAGGTGATTTTTGGTATTTTTTCCCCCTCCAAATTTCGTAATTGGGAATTCATCCTTGCAAGTAAGTTTCTAAGGCAGTGTTCTCAACCTTGGTAGCTTGAAGATGGGTGGACTTCAACTCCCAGAATCCCCCAGCCAGCTGTGCTGGCTGGGGGTTTCTGGGAGTTGAAGTCCACCCATCTTCAAGCTTCCAAGGTTGAGAAACACTGTTCTAAGGGATGGTTGGGAATCCGGCGGCATATAAATGTAATAAAGTGTTATGATTCTGAAAACCCTGGTCAAGAAAACAGCAGGGACTTCCTTGACCAAGGCAGTCTGCAAGAATCGGAGATGATTGACGGGAAAAAAAAAACTATTAGGGATAATCACACATTGATTTTAAGTAACTAGGAAAATTGGGGACGGAGTTAAAGTGCTTTTTCTGCTTGCTTCAAGTGGCGAGTTGTGGTTCCACGGATCACACTGAGCCATGGCCTAAGAATGGCTTATGAATAATAAGCCAACATTGACTGGGTTTCCCCCCTCTGCTCATTGTGACGAAAGATAATTTCTGAAGCATAATACCCCATGTTCTCACCTGAACCAAAAAAGCCTTGGTAGTACAGTGGTCTAAAGCACCCTGTTATTAAGACCATCTGCCTACAATTACTGCAGGTTCGAATCTCGCCAGGCTCAAGGTTGACTCAGCCTTCCATCCTTTCTAAGGTAGGTAAATTGAGGACCCAGTTTGTGGGGGCAATAAGATGACTTTGTATAAATATACAAAAGGATGAAGGCTATTGCTTAGCGCATTGTAAGCCGCCCTGAGTCTCTGGAGAAGGGCGGCATATAAATCAAATTTTAAAAAAAACCGCTTATATTACTGTTTGTGGGGGGGGGGGGTATGAACCCCGGCTTTCTTTAACATTCAAATTCGGGTCAGGCTTTAGAACAGGGAAGGTGAAACAGGACGTCGTGTCTCCTTTTAGGCTGGAGACCTGTAAGGTAAACCTTAGGTAAACCGCAGCGCATCACTTAAAAAGTTTGAATGGGTATTGATTTAAGAAGGGACCAAGTGGAGATCCAGAAGTTTAGAAGTTCGGAATACTTAACTCTGCTTCCCTTTTTCTTGCTTCGGTTGTTATCGCGCGGGGAGGGAGAAGCGGGCGGCGGCGAGTTTACCTACCGTTTTTTTTTAACATCTGAACGCTGCGCTCTCGGCTTTTCCTGCGCGCAAAAGCGGGCGTGTGGCTGAGACGTTAGATAAACTCTGTCGCTCGCAGCCTCGCGGAAGGGAGCTCGGGATCCTACGCCTATTTACTCTCCAGAAAGAAGCACAAAAAGACTCCCCCTCCCCTTCCCAAAACTGATCTTTTGAGGAGGGGTTTTATATCCTTTCCTCCGCCTCTTTAGGGCTTTTGGACGCTGGGAAGACTCTGACTTTTAAGTACTATACAAATTGGTGGATGGATTAGGTCTAATTTGAGTCGTCCTATTTGGTATCTGCTTTGGGAGGGATCAGGAAATTTGAGGCCAAGGGCGACTTGGTTTTTTTAAATACCCCCCTTTCCCTCCTCCAACCCCCCCTCCCCCCCACCATCTAACCAACTTTGGAAAAAAGCTAAGTAAGATCAGATCTGGTTAAAACTTGGGTGGAAAGTTACCTGAGAATCCCAGGAGAGAGAGAGCAGGAAGTTTTTTAAAAAAATGGGAAGGAAAGGCTAACAAGCCCAGATGTGCATCACATTTTCACAGGCAGACACCAAGTGATACGCTGCCTTTTGTTCTTCAAATTTCTCAGCTCTATCAAAGCTTGATTTTCAGTGACTCTCAAGCCATTTGCTCAACCTTCACATTGCTGTTTTGCGATTTGATGCTCATTCATTCCCTGGGTGACCAAACCACCTGAATCTGCTGGTCCTTCTTCACTTTTGCATTCAGAACAGAATAACAGAGTTGGAGGGGACCTTGGAGGTCTTATAGTCCAACCCCCTGCTTAAGCAGGAAACCTTATATTGTTGAAGGCAAATGGTTGTCCAATCTCTTTCTAAAAACCTCCAGTGATGCAGCACCCACAACTTCAGGAGCCAAGCCATTCCATTGGTTAATTGTTCTCAGTGTTAGGAAATTTCTCCTTGGTTCTAGGTTGCTTCTCTCTTTGATTAGTTTCCATCCATTGCTTTTTGTCTGGCCTTCAAGTGCTTTGGAAAAATAGGTTGACCTTCTTTATGGCAGCCCCTCAAATATTAGAACACCTCTATCATATCACCCCCTAGTCCATCTTTTCACTAGACTAGACATATCCAATTCCTGTCTATATTGTATTAAGAATCGATTTGTTCTGGGTCCTATCTTCTTTTGCCCCAACAGTTAGAGAAAAGCAACAAAAATGATTAGGGGACTGGAGGCTAAAACATATGATGAACGGTTGCAGGAACTGGGTATGTCTAGTTTAATGAAAAGAAGGACTAGGGGAGACGTGGTAGAAGTGTTCCAATATCTCAGGGGTTGCCACAAAGAAGAAGAAGTCAAACTATTCTTCAAAGCACCTGAGGGTAGAACAAGAAGCAATGGGTGGAAACTAATCAAGGAGAGAAGCAATTTGGAACTAAGGAGAAATTTCCTGACAGTTAGAACAATTAATCAGTTGAAGAACTTGCCTCCAGAAGTTGTGAATTCTCCAACACTGGAAGTTTTTAAGAAGATGTTGGATAACCATTTGTCTGAAGTGGTGTAGGATTTCCTGCCTAAGCAGGGGGTTGGACTAGAAGACCTCCAAAATCCCTTCCAATTCTGTTATTCTATTCTGTTCTGTTCTAGTTCTTAAATAAGCCCTCCTACTTCATTCAGTTTTACGTTTCTCCCAATATATCCGGATCTCACTTCCATAAGGCAAAAGGGTGATAACCATGTTTTATACACAACTATCTCACTTTATTTCATATTTTTTCATATTCCGTTTTGACCACATAGTACCGGTTATCATTCTATATGATTTGCACATCTTAACATCTTCTTCCATATCCCCATCTTTATTAAACATTGATCTACTCTAGGTTTTGTCATTCATATCTAGCTTGCTACTGTTCACTCAAATTTCCATTTTTTTTCATACCTTAATTTTCATATCCATATGCCTTGTGGCATTACAGTCTTTCTAACACTTTCTGCAAACCATCTGATTCTCAGCCAACAACACTGTATTGCCTGCGTACACAACTACATTCCCAACCTCGAACATCCTCCAATATCCAATACCTAATATTTTTAATATCCCCTTACATGTTTATTCATGAATACTTTAAACAACTAAGTGGACATCACATATCTCTTGCCTTAATGCTGATCCATTCATTTAGCAGGCCATCTATTCTCACACTTCCTTCTATCATGCAGTAATCATGTAGTATCAAG